TAGGTCTGGAACCATGACTGGAAGTTCGGGGATGAAGGAACAAATCCAACCTAAAAGAGATTGAACCTGCCCTAATAGTAGGCCTCTACTTTATTCTTCTCGTATTCATGTGCACTTTCTGACTAACATGCAATCATTAGGTTAACCCTAAACCTGTTTATCTATGTTGGTTGAATATTAATGCACAAACAATACTATTATTGGCGATCACTTGAATTATAATCATATTAACCCTAAACAAGATTTATTAATTATTTTATTAAGCGTGATTACAAGTACAAATTCCCTTTAAACATGCATAAAAGGTGTGATAAAGCAATAACAATAAATAAGCATCAAGCAACATAATAATAACAATTATAATAATCATAACAATCATAAAAATAATTATAAAAATCATGTTAAAGCATAATAATAGAAATATCCTAGGCATGATACTAACAAGATTAATAACAAACCCTAGCATGTCACTAAACATTAAAGATCAAATATATAGCCCTAACATGATACTAACATGAATATTAGGAAAAACAATAAAAGGCATCATAAAAATCATAATTGACATTATATTCTTTACCCTAAACATGATATTAGGAACTTATTGTTGTCACCCTAAACATCAAATTAAGAAAAACATCCTAACATGATACTAGGAATCAAAATAACAACCTAGACATGATTTCTATATCATAATATCAATAAAAACAATTAAAGCACTTACTTGGATGCCTCGTATCTCTTTCTAATAACAAAATATTCACGTTAGTAACTTCAAGGAAAATATAAAAGAAAGGAATTAAATTAAACTAAATAAATATTAAGAAAGTTTAGACTAGATTTGGGACCAAACCCTAATAAATCAAACCTTTCACGTCTAGGGCGAAGGCAACTTCGAACTTGGCTATGTGTGTCTAGATCTTGTGAATGCGGAATTTTGTATTTGAGAAAAGCTAGTTTAGAAAAGAGAGAGAGAGTATCAAGAATTTCTTGATGAGAGTTGGTGACAATTAGATGGAGAATTAATGGGAATTGATGATTGAAAAGGAGGTTATAGGAGGCTATTTATACAGAAAATCAGCCAGATATGATAAAAAAGAATCAGAGTTTTGAAAAGAATAAAACACGACGCTGTCGCCAAACACGCCCCTGTCGTCAAACAACATGGCTTTCACCAGGCGACAGACCTGTAATGCGGCGCTGCAATCAGTTTTTCCACGCGTTTTCTTATTTTGATAAAATTTAAGCGTACGAGGGGTAAAAATGTAATTTCCTTAAAAACACTTCTTTTATTCTAAATAAAACTCTTAAAAGTCAATTTATCAATGCTAATGACATTAGGATTCAAAAGAACCTTCTAGAAGATTCTAGAAGACTATAATCAATCCAAATTGCATTAGGAATGATAAATCATAATAGGTCCTCCTCTAGATCATTGGGCTGCATATAAAAGTCAAACTGGGCCCAGTTTAGTAATTTGGCCATAACATCCTCATTATTCATCGGAATTGGGCTTATAATATATCGTTGGAAAGTTTTTTTTCAAGCACCATCCAACTACACTATTATAGGACCCTTACCATGGACCAAACTAAACTGGTTTGACTATTTCCATAAAATAGGTTTTCAAAAACAGGGAGAAACAAAAGAATTAAAACTAACTGCAACACTAGACTTTCCACACTTTCACTTCATTCGATTATGATTCGATGTGAAAGGTACTCATCACTGGGTTTGGTTTTGGGGAGACACAAATGGGTGTCTACAGAAGCCCCCACTTTGACTGAGTTTGGAGAAACTTAAGTTTCGAAAACAAAAGTCAAAGTAGCGATAGGGATGGAGAATGATTCAGAACGTTATGTGATCTTAAATCACTCTTGTATTGCCAATACCTACAAACTAGCGTTAGTTAAAACAGATAAAAGAGTTATGAAACGCGTATCTTGCACCGTAGAGCACACGTCTCTGGAGGTAACCGATTTGTTGCTGCATTTGCTGTTGACAACCTTCCACAAGCTAGGGAACGCCATCCTGCTATTTTGATGATCTTCCTCAAGCTAGGGGATACCGCCCGAAGAGTGTTATGCTTGTAACTGCCTCCAATTCCGCCGTGATAGATTTCTACAAGCTAGAGAACCCTATCGTAGATTGCTTTGCCTGAAACGAACTTCTAGCGCTTTATGACCATCTTCCGCAAGCCAGGGAACATGATCGAAAACTGCTTCGCTTGAAGTCATCCTCACTTGTTGCGATTATACCCTGAAGAGTATCACCGAAGACCAACGCCTGTCAATCCTTTAAAGTTCTCTTGAACTTTGCTATTGCTATGCCAGTGCGTCGGCGCTTTTGCTGCTTGTGAACCAGTATGTAGGTGCTTCTGAATTGTGAACCAGTATGTCGGTGCCTTTTTTTGCTTATGAACCATTATGTCGGTGCCTTTGCAGTGAGCCGATGTTTATGCACTTTAAGCTAAGTGAGACGATTATTTATCAGGTCGATCACTTAATGCTATTGTAACCAAACCGATTACTAAATCATGTCAAATTGCTTATAGGGGCTAACTGGCGTACCAAGGAACCCAAAATTGCTGTACGAGGTTGAAATCACCACTTTGTCGCCAGACGCTGCACTCTGTCGCCCGGCGACAGATATGTCGTGCGACGGTGCAGTCGGGATTTGAAAGGAATGATGTCTTTCGAACAAGTGTATTATTTTGATAGTGGGTTCAGAATTATTAGAAAGCTAATATATTCAGTAAGGTCAAGTGATTGGAATGCCTAGGTGGAGGCCGCTTCCGATTAGTAATATTAATGTATAATTAATATTACAGCTTAATCTTGACTGAACCCTTTGGGTCACACCCAAGCAATTAACAAACCGACTCGACGAATTAATTTGGAAGTAATTAATGAGTCGCTCGAGTATTAAATATTTAGACGTCGGAAATTCGAGTTTGGAGCGTTGAACCCGAGCGTCGGAGAATCTCAAATGTCGAGCTAAAATTTAGGATTTGACGAGATGGGAAAATGCTTCAAGTAACAAGTAAAATCCTAGCCACACGAAAGGCTTGGAAAGCGTGCCCAATAGGAGCGTGCCACATGGCAGCACACATGGCGAAACGCCATGTGGCAGCACGCGTGGCAGCGTACGTGACCCTAGGTGGAAGCTAGGTCGTTGGACTAACTTTCCTATGTCAAAACAAAATTTGTAAACTCTCGACACACCTTCATACAAGTATAACGACAAGTTAAGGATCAAACCTAAGGGAATGGGAGCTAACTACTATTGTCTAAGTCAAGCTATCTTGAAGTCAAGGGGGTAGGTGTGTGTGTAATCTAAGAAACTAAGCAAAACAAACAAGCAATAGAAATCAATATAATGAAACACTAGGGTTAGGATCCACATATATTAGCAATGAACATAGAAAATTGAGATAGGAAGTTGACTAAGTCGAGTGATGCGAGGGAAGGTCAATTATGCAATCAAGAGAGAGTGATAGGCTAATTTCCTATAGGTCAAACTAGCGCCAACTACGAGAGACACTAACTAGGAACCTCACAAATCCCCTCAATCGACAAATGTAGGACACAAATCAATGGTCCGTATCAATGTGAACGTACAATGCAATCTAGTGCATCAATCAAAGTTAGCTACTCTTCAATTAAAGCACACATGCACATAATCAAACAACCGATTTAATCACATCATCAACTCCATCAAGATCCCCCAATTCACATCAATTCATCACATCATATATGTTTCATCATCACCCTACCAAGCTAAGTACTCACAATCTATAGAAATCGCAATTAAAACTAGACTAGTCAATGAAATCATCATCATAATATCAAACAAGCTAAAATCAATCAAAACTTAATCAAATTTGAGCAATTAACAACACAAATGAAATCAAGAACTAAAGATTGCATTAAGGTAATGAGATTCATGCAAACTTGCTTCAAAATTAGGTACAATCAATCTTCAATCATCAAAATCAATGGTTTCTCTCACTATAATCCTCCTCTTTCTCTCTCTAGATTCTAACCTAATTCAATTCTAATTTCTGAAAAATTGAACTCTCTCTAAAAACAGAAAGAAAATCTATATATAGCAAAACTAACTAAGAGAAGTTAGTTAGATCGTCCCCAAATAAACCCATACAGGCGCGGCCAACTATAAGAGGGAGCGCGGCCGCGCAAAACTGGGTATGGAACAAGGACCCAGATAGGCGCGCTCGCGGCCGAGGGAGGCACACCCGCGCCACTAGGCCGCGCGGCCGCGCCATGGTCACGTGCGCCCGCGCCTGGGAGTAGGGGAGCCCTCTTCCCTATCATTCCGATGCTCCATGGCGTTCCACTTAATGCTCTTGATAGACACGGAACCTTGCAGTTTCTAAACTCCATGTTTGCGGGTTCAAGACTAGATATTATGCCCCCACGGCTTGAATGCACAACTCAAGGTCTTTAGGAACTTGCACTTATCCATGCCTGAGCTTCAAATATAGACCACTAAGCATCCTAATCAATGCCAAACTTGGGAAGAGGCTCGGGAAACTTGAAAAACGACCTTAACCTGAAAAATAAAGGAAAACAAACAAATAAAAGAGAAAATAACAAAATAAACTAAGAAACTTTGGAAATAGAAATTCTCACCAAAAAGATGGATTTGATAACTATAACAATGGTAATTATATGAACCAAGGAAACCAAAATTTCCGAGGCAACTGTAATAACCAAGGTTATGGGAATCAAAACTAAGGCCAAGGTTATGTAAATCAAAGCCAATCTCAAGGCTTTGGTGGCCAAAACCAAAATTTTGGCAACAATCAAAATCGAGGCAATTGGATCAATCAAAATAGGGGGAATATTCAAAAACATCAAAGGGGACCCCCACCCGGATTTGGTCCAAAGTCTCAAGGTGTTGGTGAGAATTCCTATTCTCAATCGCCCAAGTCCAATTTGAAGGAGATAATTGAAAATCAAACAAAAATCTTGAACACCTATATGGCGGTGAGCGATAAGAAATTTAATGAGATCATGACACATAACAAAATGCTTGAGACACAAATCACCCAACTAGAAAACACTTTGAAAGATTGTGCTAGTCCTTCTTCATTGCCTTCTCAAAGAGTTGATCAAAAGAAACCCGTTTATTCCATCACCACAAGGAGTGGAAGAGTTCTTGAAGAGAGAGTTTATAGGGATTGTAAGGAGGACAAGAATAAGAGTGTTTCAAGTGAGCAAAAAGAGGAAGATGTGTCAAGAGATGTGAGCAAAGAAGAGAGCCATGAGAAAAAGAAGAGTGGTGAGAGAAAGCAAGAGGAAGTGAGAAAACCCGACCTTCCATATCCCTAAAAGTTTATGAGGAACAAACTAGATGAACAATTTGGGAGATTTCTTGAAATGTTGAAGGAGGTCCATCTTTCTATCCCTCTTACCGAAGCCATGACACAAATTCCTAGATATTCCAAGTTCCTTAAGGATATCATGAGTGGAAAGAGAGATTGTAATGAGATAGATTTGGTGGATCTTGGTGAGTGTTGTAGTGCTTTGATTCACAATGACCTCCCCAAGAAGAAGAAAGATCCGGGTAATTTCTCCATTCCTTAAAAAATCAAGAGTAAGTTGTTTGAGAATGCTTTATGTGATTTGGGTGCTACTGTGAGCATAATGCCCTTCTCGGTCTTCAAGAAGCTAAAGCTAGGAGAACTTCATCCTACCAACATGGATTTGCAATTGGCTGATAGGTCCATCAAGTTTCCTAAGGGAAGAGTTGAGGATGTTCCCCTAAAGATAGGTGGTTTTACAATCCTCGTTGATTTCATTGTGCTTGAAATAGAAGAAGATTACCACATTCCAATTATCTTAGGAGACCGTTCTTAGCTACTTCGAGAGCTTTGATTGATGTTAAGGGAGGCCGAATTACCTTGAGATTTGGTAACAAGAAAGAGAGTTTTGAGCTAAAGCCAATGCATGAGTCCTTATCCCTAGTGAAAGGAATCAAGAGTGATGATTCCCTTCGTTCTTTTGATAATGTGTATGTGATTGATTCTTCATCTAACAATATTCATGATATTTTTGATGATGTGCTTGTAAGTTTTGATTGCATGAAAGTTAGTGAAGATAAGAAGGAGTTTCCAAAGGTTATGAACGAAGAGGAGATCAACATTCCTCATTGTTTTGAGCTATACCCTCGAGAGGAAGAGGAGGATTCCGTGGAGGTAGATGGTGTGAAACTGTCTACGAAAAGAAACAAAATCAAGAAGAAAGCAAGAGCTTCGAAGAAGAAGAGAATGAGATTGAAGATGAGAAATGAAAAGATTGTTTTTGATGTCCAAGCTAGTGAAGTCTTGCCAAGCAACAATGAGAGGTTGCTTGAAAATGAAGGAGAAGTTGTTCTTTCCGCAACTTTGAAGAAGGTGGTGTTCTTTGACCCTCCGTGATTTGGATGAAGGGTCGAGCTGAGGACCTTAAGCAAGCGCTTCCCGGGAGGCAACCCGGAGATTTATAACCTTTTCTTTTGATTTCAAATTTTCTTAATTTTCTTTCTTTTAGTTTCTTTTCTTTTCTTTCACTTGTTTTACTTTGGATTTATAGGTTGAATTCTTTGAAGTTGGATTACATCAAGTGGAACGAGCTATGGAATGGTGTTTCGCGGTTTTTGATGTGTTTTATGTTCAATTTTATAGAAAGTTTGAGGTAAATGGGGTAAGAATTGTTAGGAAGGTAAGTAAGAAAATTTGTGCTTAAGTTTGAAGGAATTGGAACTTGGTCAGTTCATTGTGGTGCTACCATTATCTGGGGTGTTGAACCCACATTTTTCACATTTAGAAACTGATCGTTATGATGGGGTCAAAAATCCCAGAATGATAGTTATCGATGTACCCATGCATGAACGCACCAAGGAGAAAGGCAAGAAGAGAAACAGGTGGTGCGGGCGCGCCTAGCCCCTGCGCGGGCGCGCTGCCAAGCCGCGCGGCCGCGCACCCCCTGCCGTGCCTATCTTTTCCTCTTTCTTCATTATTTTCCCTTATTTCCCCTTCACCCTCATTTTCTCAAGAGCTCAATCCCCTTCACCTTCACCAAAACCGCACCATTTCCTTACACACATTCATCAAATTTTCACTCAAATTCTTCCAAATTTCCATCACAATTCATCAAATCCTTTTGTAATTCTTCTAATTTTAACAAATTGATGAGTGGCATTTATGCCACTCTTTTATCCTTTTTCTCTAAGGATTCTCCCCTCATTTGCACTTATTTGGCCGCATTTTTACTTAGTTTTGCTTCCTCTTTTCTTTCCCCTTTATCTTCTCTTTTCTTAGTATTCTCGCTTTGTTTTTATTGTGATTTTCATGCTTATGCTTTGTAGGAACCATCGGGATTTTCAAGAGGAGGAAGCTAAGCTCAAGGGAAGCTGGAGGAAGTGTGATTCAGAAGAGGTTCGGCCGAACCTCCTAAAGGTGTGGCCGAAACCTGCTCAGTGGTTCGGCCGAACGTCGAGGCAGGGACAGGATACAATTTGGCAATTTTGCAAGAATGGTCTGACAAGGGAATAAACGCGTCGTCAATTGTCTATCCCTAGATCAAATACAATTTATACAACCTAAACAAACCTAATACGAGTATAAGGCAAGCATAGGGGTCGAACCACAGAGAACGGTAAACACCACCAAATGTTATTGACAATTAAGCTAGTCCGGAATAGGAGATAAATAAACTAAAGTCTAAAGATGCTAAAACAAGAAATAAAACATTAAGGCACCAAGGGAAATGGGTAGGTGAAGTTGACGCTTGATCATGCAATAACAAAGTAGCAAATCAATGGTAAACTAAACATGCATGAATACCGAAGTAAAGGGTCCAATCTAGCCGCCTTCCGGGGTCAATTGGCTTCTCCTAACATAGCCTCTATGTTTCCACATTAGAACCATATACTAGGAGGTACTATTAAATAACAATCGATAGTAATGAATCTCAACTAAGTCAACTTCCTACTTGTTAGTAAAGACTCATCTTTGATCAACTAACAATGTGCACTTGCAAGAAAGACCAAAGAATATCAAGCATTCAAAGACTTTAATCACCATTAACATAACCCCAACATTAAAAGCATGAACAATTAGCAACTACACCATCCCCACACCCTTGGCTAGGTGACTACTCACAAATCATGTTGAAAACAATATCAATCATCAAATCAATAAGCATCAACATGATTAATAAGCAAAGAAGAAAAATAAAAGCAAATAAGCAAAATAAAAAACAAAGGTAAAGAGAAAGAGTAAGAGATTGCTCATTAATTGAAGATGAAGGTCTACAAAGGATTGAACAAGCTCCTTCTTCAAGATCCAAGTTCATTAATGAAGAAAACCACACACTCTCTCTCTCTCTCTCTACCAATGAAGACTAATCCTAACCTAACCTAAAACTAATTAGAGAGAAGAATAGATACTTATTGAATATCCCCCAAAATTGGGTATTTATACTAGCTTAATAAAACTAGGAAAAATAGAAAAAGAAAATAAAATAAAATATATTAAAAGGAAAAGTAAAAAAAATCAGAAACTAAAAAATAAAAATAAAATAAAAGAAAGAAAATAAGAAAAGGGAAAAGAAAAAGAAATAAAAAGAAAAGAAAAAGAAAAATAAAAATGAACCTACCAATCCCCACCAAAACCATCAGCAACCCATTTCTTCTTCGACCTTAATGGCTGCTCTGATTTTTTGATCATCATACCACCATCATCAATGGCTCAAAAATCATCATCGACATCTTCATCAACCAGCAATCAATCAAGGCCGTTCAATTTTCATTAAAACTCGCGTGAGAAGCTGGTGAAATGGTTTAGTCGAACCACGGGTTGGTGCGGCCGAACTACGGGGTTGGTTCGGTCGAACCATGGGTATGTTCGACCACTCTTCTTCGAATAACAAAACCCCCAAAGTCTCTGACTCGACGTTCGGCCGAACACTCATTGGTTTGCTCGAACTTGATTAATTCGCTAATTGTTCAGATTTTTGGGTCGATTGGTTGCTTAATTGGTGGTGGTTGTTTACGGTGGTGCAGGTACGCTGATTGTGGTGGAAGGAGGAGGTGTTTCGAATTGGATCAGGGGATAGGAATGCGTGGCTGGTTTGGGCAATTGCTGGTTGGTGGTGGTTGATAGGTGGCAGCAGGGGATAGGAATGCGTGGTGTTGTGTGGCTGGTTTGGGTGCTGTGAGGGGCTGCTGTGAGGGGCTGCTGTGGTCAGGTGGTGTGAGTGGAAGGAAGAGGTTAATGTTGCTGTTGGTGTTGGTGGTGTTGCGGGGTGAAGCAGGGGAAGAGTGTTGCTTGTGTTGTTGGTGTGTGTGTGTGTGTGGTGGAGGATAAGGTGTGGGGTGTAGGATAATGCTGGCAGCATGGGTTGGCTCAAGTTTTGCGCCTCGAACCTTGGACCTCCGAACACGAATATGACCTTGAAACTCGGGACACCTACAACCAAAAACACAAGGGTATTACTAAGAGATAAAATTAAATAAAATAAAAAAAGGTAAAATAAAATAAGATAAATAACACTAAACTAATAAAAATTAAATAAAACTATACAAGTAAAGAAAGTGAAATAAAATACGAAAATAGACTAAAACTAATAAAATAAAGAAAATAAATTAAAACACTCCAAAATTACCAAAATAAACTAGAAACTTTATTAAAGAGAAAATAAGAGAATAAAAGGAAAATAAGGGAAAATAAACACGGAAAAGACTCTAAAACTACTCCTTAGGAGTGACATAAATGTCACTCATCAAATTCCCCCAAGCTAAACCTTTACTCGTCCTCGAGGAAAGCTAAGGAAAAAGAGAACAAGATGGAATTATTTAAAGCAAAAGAAACAAAAATAGAAACTAAGAGAAAGAATGTACACTAACTCACTGTCGTAGGAATCACGGATGCATTTAGCGTATGCATCAAGCCCTTTAAACCCCTATTTCGCCAAAGAGGACGAGTAAGCTCTCGTGAGGGTTTCCTAAGAGGTTTAACCCACAACTCTTGGCAACACATAACATTCAAGGCAAAGGTGAAATCAAGAAAACTCGAGTTTTGATATTTCAAACCAAACACAAACAATGGGCTAAATGCACAAGAATACAATCCTTTCTAGATATTAAAGGTAGCCAAGCAAAAGAATAGCTAAGGTTGATGCACACATAAAGCATGCAAAGGGTAGAGAACTTAGAGGGACTTACACTCCTCCTTATCTCCAACCAAACTTCCGCGTCCTCTCTAGTTTTGCTTCCACTTTTAAGGTGATATCTCGAGATTCCTCGAAGGAATCTGAAGAAATAATCAATGAAAAACATTTAGGCTACCCGACATCTTGGCATTGATAGCTCGCTCAATAGGCTTGGCTTGATTACCCTCCATCGGTAGTAACTAAACCTCACTAAGGTCAAAAGGTCTTAAAAGGGTTGAAACGTTTAGGCTAGGGTAAAGGGTGTGGAAATAAATTTGGAAATTGGTGGTAAACTTAGAAGTGAAGCAAGGTTGATCATTCCTCAATTCAAATTCAATAAACTACCAAATTTCAAATCAAAAGTTCTAGCAACTCCTCCCCCGAGCTTATTG